ACAGGGCCATAACTTTGGGACACATCTATTGGAGGAAGGGAGGAAATGAGACAAATAAATGCTGGTCTAGAAGATTCCTTCACAAGTCAGATGTTATGTCATGGGCCCTCATGTAGCTCCTCGGGGGCTGAAGGGGCAGCCCTGGGTGAACCATGCCACCCTGCCCAGCCCTTTCCTAGCGAGAGAAATGGGGGCTCACCTGACCCAAGGGCAGCCCATCCACTGGCTTTCCTATGCCCCATGACGCACAGCAGCTGCCCTATAAAGATGACCCGGGCCACTTCCATTTCTCCCTCAGAGGCTTTACATTCAGAAGGGAGCTTAAAGCTGAGAGAGATTGGGGGCTGGAGATAAAAGGTCGTGAAAGAGACTGTCTCACCAATGGAAGAAGTTGGGCCTCTGCACTGAGAGTAGCATCTGGTTCTGGGGACTGCTCCTCTCACTGCTCACCATCCTGACCGCCCACTGCCTGAGCCCCAGCAGAGGTGAGAATCACCCCAGCGTGAAGCCAGGAGGAGCAGAGAGGGCCAGGAACTGCCCAGTGCCCGGCGCCCGCCAGCCTCACCGCAAGGCAGCCTCACAGGCTCCGCCTTGCTCCTCCCAGCACCCCTACCCTCCTTCCCAAAGCTTCTCTTTGTTCATTCGGCCTCACAGGTGCAGTATCCAGGGCCCTTCAACTCTTCAGGAGTGACTGAAACGGAAACAAAATTTACTGGCTCCAAAATACAAAAAAAGCTTCAAAATCGATGTTTAAACGTCTATAGAACATAACATCATGCCAATTAGCCAACCACAACTTGTATATACATATATTCTCGTTATGTTCCATGTGGGACATGGTATACTGTAATAGGTTGACAAACTGTGGGGAGGGGTTTCCAAAGTGAGGGTGCAGGAGCCTGCAGAGGCTGGGACAGAGTTCTGGGTGCACTTACTCTGCTGAGGACCTAGTTCACGAAGGAAAGACCTAACTCCCAACATCTCACCTCTAGCACTTTCCACGTAAGGCCACACTGCCCAAGAAGGATGGAGAAGTCAATAGGCAAAGAGCGGACTGCACTTGGGACAGGGGCACCCAGCAACTTCTGCTAATTTATCTGGAGGATAATTAAGAAATATTCATAAGACTTCCTTCATTAGGCCCCTAAAGGAGGCTGAACTACATGAGGAGCCTGCTTTTCCAATTTTACTCTGATATACCCAGACGGTTCTGGTTAAAAATGAATAACACTAAATAATGGGACTGGTTAAGCCATGGTATTTGGGGTCGGATTGATGAGGCAAATCAATATGAGTCTTTCTTCCCCCCAAATTCTTCAAATAAAACATCTTTGGGCCAGCCCTGTGTCTTAGGGGTTAAGTGTGCACGCTCCGCTGCTGGCGGCCGGGGTTGGGATCCCAGGCGCGCACTGACACACCACTTCTCCCGCCATGCCGAGGCCGCGTCCCACATACAGCAACTAGAAGGATGTGCAGCTATGACACACAACTATCTACTGGGGCTTTGGGGGGAAAATAAATAAATAAATAAAATCTTAAAAAAAAATCTTTTCTGCTACCCTTGAAGTTAATCAGCAAATGAAATATTTACAACATTAAGGGCTAATTCACCCAGGTATAGTAAATAATAGTAAAATAAATAATTTTTCATCTGCATCTGATTGGCTCATAAGTCTCATTTCCAAATTAAATACCTGAGTCTCAGTTCCTTCCTGGAGACTCATGGAACAGTCAGCAAATAAAATGACATTTCAGTTGCTCTTTCCAGTTCTCTGTGTTTCACTGTCTTCAAGAAATTTCTAGGGAACCCTGACAATTATGCCTCAGCTCATCTTCTTTCCAAATCTGGTCCTTTCTGACAGGCCCCACAGGCCTCCTGGCTTCTGGTTTGCATTCTAGAACTCTTCCTTAGGGCCACTGAGAACCCCGAGCAAGTAGCATCCTGAACCGGTGGGTCAGCTCCTAAAGGTTCTCAAGTACAAGCTCCTGGTGGGAGCTCTCCTCTCCAGTAAGCACCTTCCATGCTCTTCTTACTTTGCTATCAATGCCCAAGGATCACACCCCTCTGCCTCTGGCCTGGCCTCCCCTGAGAGCAGGGGCTTGCAAGTATGTGAAAGGGTCCTCTGCTTATTCTTTCCCTTTCCTAGTCTCCCCCACCCCCAGGCCCATCCCATTTTCAGCCATGGCTGTTCTAAGACTGGGCAAGGGATCACATTCTCCCTGATTTTTGCCCGAGGTAACTGAATTCTATCCATCCCAGAAGCCACACAGCAGCACTCGGAGCTCCTACGTTCAGGGGCCTGCACAGCTTCTCACCTGAGCCTCTTCTCCTTCAGGTCCTGGATGCTCTCAGCTCGTCTCTTCCTCAATATCAAAGGTGCTCAGGAAAGAATCCCTGAAGGGGTTATTTTACATCTCAGTGTGAATGAGTCACTGCGTCCTTCTCTGGGGGAATGGAATTCCTAAGTCTCCTCTCAAATTATGGAATAACAGCTTTTGATCTCAGTGAAAGGAAATTCAAGCACCGGATTGAGGAAGACATAAGGGTGAAGGGGTACCATAGACTCCCTAAAAATCACACTGTCTAAAATCACATGCTTGCCCTACCTGCCCCTAATATTGGTCCTGATCTATCAAAGAACGGGCTGTGTAATTTAAAAACATGACCAAGACAAGGACCAGGCCAGGCAGAGAAGACGGGAGAGAGAGAAAAGTGCAATAAACAACGGGAAATACTGCCTTGGGCGGGAAGGGAAGTGCAGTGATAAACTACCAGGCCTGCCAGTCCCAGGCACAGAAGCTCCACTGCAGAGGCCAGAAACTGCCCGCTCTGTAAAAGTCACAGTCCAGTCACAACATCGATGTAGGAGAAATGTTCTGGCAAGGAACAAAAATGGTTCATATACTCAAGCTACTTGCCTACCTTCCTTTCAAAATTTAAGAATGTTTTTTCCTTTTTGGAAGGAGAAGGGGCATGAAAGAAAAATCTTTACAAAGATATGAAGAAAATGATTTATTCATTTTAAAATCAGGGGATTGACATGAAATTAGTAACATGACTACATGATTAAAGAAAAAAGCCGGGAGGAGGTGCCCTACTAGAATTAGGCTGGTGAGTGGCAGGGAGCAGGACAGAATACATAGACCTCCAGAGCTAGGAGTCGGCGCTGAGTAAGCAGTTAGCAGCGCAGCAGCAGCAGCAGCAGCAGCAGCAGCAGCAGCAGCAGCAGCAGCAGCAGCAGCCGCCCCCCCTCACTGAGGGATGTCACAGGTCAAAGCTGAAGTCACCATCACATATACGTGGCCAGAGCAGCATGGAAAGAAGAAATTCTGTTTTTCTCACCACCAAAGGCTTCTCTGTGAAGGTTGTGCTTTAGAGACTTGTTTCCCTGGAGAAGTAGCCTCACTATATTTTCAGTGGTACTTAAAGGCAAAAGTGTGTTCCCACCAAAAATCCTTCTCAGGTAAAGTGAGGCAGCTCAGCACACACATATGCAAGCACCCTGAGGCACAGTGTGGCTCTAGGGGGGCCAGCAGAGGGAAGCACCAGAGGCAGTGGTCAGTCCCAACTGCGCTTCAGGGAGGCGGCCAGGGGGCGGAGGTAGAGGTCCTCGGAGAACTGAGAAGGGCCTGCTGCCAAAGTGCTGACAGTGCAGGAGGCAGGGGCTACTGATGGGAAAACACCTGCTCCCCCAAAACACTCGGCCACGGACACTACTCTTCAGGACATGGGAAGGAGCCCTCCCAGCTGCCCACCTTTCAAGAGGGGCTGGCCCTGACTGCGGCAGCCCTGTGTTGACAGCAGAGCCAGGCAGGCTGCATGCAGACAAGATGAGAGAACAAGCACTCGCTGTCACAGAGCCTCTCTCCACGCGGGAGAGCAGAGCAGACACCTTGGTGGCCCTGCTCCTGAAGAGCTGGGAAGTCAGTGATGCTGCTCAGGTGATAGCAGCTCTCCTCCTGGAGCACAGAACAGACACTGTGAACATGTGCACGACTGCTCCTGGGCTCTGACGCTGATGAGGACGATGGGTGTGCCAACCTCACTTTGCCAAAAAAGCTGATCCCAGAGACCTGCCCCCAGAGACGCAGATTCCAAAGGTCTGCTGTGGGTCCTGGGAACCTGCATTTCTAACTTGCAATCCAGGTGATTCTGAGGCAGGTAGTTCAAGGACCATGCTTTGAGTCTGGGGTCAAGTGGGCATGGGGTGGGTGACAGGGTCCTAGGGGAGCGAGGGGCGGTCAAGGGCAGCAGAGAAAGAACTTGTGAGGGCCAAAGGCCCATATCTGTGCACTTGAGAAAGAAAAAAAGTACACAGGAGAGAGGAAAGTCTGTCTTCTGTGTGCCCTCCACCCTGCCACATGGGACAATCAGTTCTTCTGAGCAAGCCTGACCCTGCCTCACAAAGCATGACCAAGGCCATGCTTCTGGAGGGCCTCTGATTGCTCAGTGACACTTTGCATTTAGCTCCATTTCCCTCCAATTAGTGCAAAGCATTCTCCTTTTGAATAAAAAGGTGCAGGTGCCTGGGCCCTAGTCTCTGCACTGGTGGGCCTTGATCCTTGGCCCCTTGGCTCTGGGCCAGTGGATTTAACGTATGCATTATAGCCAAACCACCATCTGATACAAGTTGCCCAGGTGAACACTCTGCTCTCTAAGTGTAAACATAGAAAGTTTAGGGACATTGAGGCCAAATGATTACTATTACCATCCAAGCTAGTCATCTAGCTCCAAAGGTCAGTCACATCCACAAGGAATTACTACACTAATGAAAGAAGAAAAATGCTTTGCGGCCTCCAAACAATGCCTGTGACCTCACCTGCTGGGTGCAGGGTGCCGGGTGAGGGAGGTGAGCCTTAGCCTAGGCTCCTATTGTAGCCTGGAGGACCAGACCGCCAGGCCTGCCACTCTTGTTCTAGGGCTGGAATTCAGGTGTACTCACCAGTGCTGGAAGTCATGGGTCACTGGGAGGGGCCTGACTCAGTGATACTTGCCATACAAAATTTACCTATTTTATTCTGAGGGAAAAAAGATACAACTATTCCACTTGAATTGTCATCTGTGCAATCTCCAAGTGAGAAGTTACAGCCAGCTGCAAAGCAGCATTCCCTTTAGGGGACAAGGTAGCTCACACTGGATCACTGTTCTCTTCAAGGTCACCCTCTTTTGGGTGGCCAGGGCAGGGGTCCTGAGCCAGCTTGCACCAACTCTGGGAAGCCTGTGCTGGCCCGGGAGACGCAGCAGTGAGGATGAGGCATGACTCCCCCAGCCAACTCAGGGAATTGTGATCTGAAAGACTTCAGGTTTTCACCTCCTAGATTTCTCATTGAGTAACGTTGTTCCTTCTCTAAAAGCTCAGACCACAGTGTTGACATGGGGAAAGCCACAACTCAGGGCCACCTACGTTCTTGTTTGGTACATGACATTAGGTCTCCTTCCTCCTTTTACAGAAAGAGTTAAATATTCCTGTGAAGGGAAAAATGGCTGCATCTCTTTTTCTGGGCCAGAAGATTATTAACTATTAACATCCAGGATATAGACTGCTGGAGCATGTAGCTCCTAAGGTCAATCGCACCCCAAAGGAATTAATAAATTAATCAAAAAGAAAAATGCCAATGAGAGTAAAATGGTGAAAAAAATAATTGTATCTATTTTAAAAGAGCTTGTTGGCCTTCCTTTAAAAATGGAACTTTTCCTTCCTGTTTCAGACTTCAACTGGAGACTAAGTGTTTGGTCTGTTGATTTTCTCCGCTGTCTCACCTGCTTAGGTTGGTCTCACTCCACTGCAGACCCCCAGCAGGGCTCTTCTGCATGGAAAAGGTGTTCTACCCACAAAACCGCCCCACAGCTGGTCCAGGTGCCACCGGTGTCAGTGCATCCCTGAGGTCACGTCATTTTGTCAGCGAGTCTGGACACACCTAACTGAGTCCTAAGAAAGTGGATTAGCTTGGTCTCTGTGAGGAACGTTGTCCCGAGAGTAGCTCCCAAACAGAAGGTGCCCACAGCAACATGCGCCAGCCTGGCTGGCCAGCCCTGATCACAGCAGAGGAACACCTGTGGAAAGAAAGCATTGTCACTGTCCCGGCCCCTCCGTCTGTACCTCCTTCCTCTGGGGCAAGCCGGGGAAGGCAGAGGCCTTACTGTTCCAACTTTGAGTCAGACAGAAGGTGTGACAACCGCATACTGAGGGTCTACTCTGTGCCCACTAGTAACATTGTCTGGTCACATCTATCATAAGGTGCTGTCCTAGAGACTGAGCAGAAGGGGTAAGAGGAGGCAAACACTTGTCCAGCTGGTTCAGGCAGTGCAGGAAGGGGGAGCCCAGCATGAGGGACAGTGGGCAGTCCTCAAAAGCACCTGGCGGGAAGGCTGCAGGGAGTCTCACCTCTGAAACACCAGTGATCCCACCACTGAGGGCAAACACCCCGAGGAGGACCGGTGACAGGTACAGGCCAGCCAGGGGCCTGTAGGGGCTCTTTCGGTAGTAGCGGTGGATGAAGCGAAAGCTCTGTGTGATCCGAATGGCCATGTTAAAGCAGTTGGCCAAGATGAAGCCCACGCTGCCACACCAACGGGTCAGGAGATAGGATAACACCAGGAATGAGGATGACAGGGCCAGCATTGTGCAATTGTACCTGGGGAGGGGGAGACAAGAAAAGCAGGGCAGTGGACAGGCAGGACTGTTACCAAAAAAAGTGGCAGTGAACACGAATTCACAGAAAGCACCTCCGAGTTCCCATAATCCAGCTGGTTTTCATAACATCGAATGCTATATGGATAACATAGAAATAGGCTGTCCCCCTCACCCCTGAATAGAAGAGTAAGAAAATGAACAACTCAAGATACCTATAATTTTTAAGGATAATAATCGGTTAGTTTAAATGACACTTTGTGATCAAAACACATAAAAATCTTGTTCAGCCCAAGTCTTCAACGTGAGGCTCAAGAATATGATCCGGGGGCCGGCCCTGTGGCGTAGTGGTTAAGTGCGCGTGCTCCGCTGCTGGCGGCCGGGGTTCGGATCCTGAGTGCGCACAGACGCACCGCTTGTCAGGCCATGCTGTGGCGGCGTCCCATATAAAGCAGAGGAAGATGGGCACGGATGTTAGCCCAGGGCTAGTCTTCCTCAGCAAAAAGAGGAGGACTGGCGTGGACGTTAGCTCAGAGCTGATCTTCCTCACACACACACAAAAAAAGAATATGACCTGGGTAATAATTATATATGAACGCTAACTCTGGGATAGGCACTGTGAGGGGTGCTAGGGATACACTGGTGAAGGAACACACATGGCCCTGGCCCCGTGGAGCTTGGATTCATTTTACAGACAAGGAAACCAGGCACAGAGAGGCTGTTTTTTGCCTGAGGAGTGAGCCGATATGCTAACCTGACCCCTGGCCCCTAAACTTCAGCACCTCACACGGCTTCCCTCGGGAAATGCAATAGCCCCGTAACCCTGGCCAGGGGTCCTCACTCAAAGCAAGTGACCAGCCTTCACAACGAAATGTAAACAGGGAGCAAGGCCTGGAACCCCTTCCGTGTTTTCCAGCCTCTTACACATCCTTTCTCCTGCTCGCTAGATCTCTAGAGCTCTTTGGATGCTATGACTAGATGAATTATACTGCTCTTTTCACTTCTCTGATTTCAAAGCAGCATGTCACTTAGTTATCTTTACTTCTCAGCAAAGATAAAGTAGCTGCCGTAGTCCTCCAAAAGGCTTATGGTAGAGCCACGAACAAACTTCTCTCGCATCTGGTTTCTGCCTAGCGCACAGCAGGTAATCTAAGTGTATAGCTGTTGTTGAGGGAACCAAACCCTTAGGCCCCCCAAAGCTGTGTCTGCTGGGTTAGGAAACCTCAGAGGCCATCACTTGAGTTCTGCACATGAGGGGTGATAAGAAAGCCACTGTGTGTCCCGAATGCTCAGGTACTGGTCCTCGGGCTGACCAAGCCCAACCCAAGGTGCTATGGGATATATTTTATCAGAGTGGGTGGTAAGAATACTACACACAAACGCACGCATACATGCATACACTACTATATTCCAAACAGGGGATGTGTGCTTTCATCCAGAATTCCAAAGGGGAATTTATTTGCTTCTCAGTCAAGAGAGTCTCTTTTAATGAGCAATTGAAGTACAAGAGCCCATACCTCCATAGGGGAAGTTTCTCCCCTAACTACTAACCAGTGATCAGAATGGCCAACTTCATAATAAGCCACTGAGGGTCAGAGCCATCATAGATCAGTAATCTGACCTCTCGTTCAGAAAGAAGCAGAGATGTGTACTCTGTTTTTCGTTTGTTTGTTTGTTTTTTTCAGAAACTATCTCAGAAAGGTCTATAAGACCAAGCTGTGGTGTCTGACCCATAGATTCACAAGTCATCCTCACCCGACTCCAAGTAAAATGGCAACAATGAATGAAACCGATATTACGGTAACTCATGCTAATTTAAGTAGGGACAAATTTAATAGTGTAGCTTTTTTGGTGTGGCCATTTGGGAGGAGCTGATACTGATGGGGTCCACAGTTTTTCAATAGAAGAGGGCTCTGCAGCTGTTGAGCTTTCCAGACCTCACCAATCTATAGCCTCAGGAAAAAATGAGAATTTTAAAGATGCAATTAAAATACCACTTTCGAAATCAATGCAAAATTATTCAGTGACAATAATGACTATTTTATAAGGTTTGGTTAATGTAAACAGTAAATTATTTATGAATGTTTATTTTTCCATGGCCCCAAGAAGATACTGGGCTTAAAACTAGGCTTATCAAAAGATAGATGATCATGGATGTTGGCTGCAGCTGCAACTAAAGCATGCCCCAGTGGGTGGTGGTTGAATACAATAAGGTAGAGCCATACAATGTAGCCTGTGCAGCCAAGAAAATGATGACACCAGTCTCTTACATGCCAATGTGAGAAGATCGCACTCATCCTTCATTTAACAGTTCTGTAGTCCAATTACATTTTGGGCACTCAAGGGCCAACGAATTGACAAAGGAGCTGTCAATCTTGGGCCTTTGCATCACTGTCCCCTCTGCTTGGAAGGTTCTGCCCCATCTTCGCATGGCAGATTCTTCTTGGTCATCCAGGCCTCAGCCTAAATGCCACGTCCTGAAGCTTACGCAATCTAAAAGGGCTCCCACTCTCACTATACAGCCCTGTTTTAGTTCTCTGCACAGCACAACATTATCTTATTTATTTACTTGTTTACTATCTGCCTCTCCCACTGTCAGCTCCAGGAGAGCAGGGATCTCATCTATCCTATTCATTGCTGAATTCCTAGAGCTTAAAACAATACCTGTTAGAGAGTAGATGCTCAAAAAGTATTCAGCAAATGAAGGAAGGAAAACGACGTATCCTTAACAAAACAGATAAAAATTCTTCAATAGGCCATAACGAAAAATCCATCAACCATATTCTCTATATTTTATGAGATTATTAAAAAAAGGCAACTTGCACTTCAAAGGATGTCTAATATTTCACATCCAACCAAATGCCCTATTTTTATTTAGAACAACACTGATTAACCTGAAGTTGGTTAAGTAAAAACCCACGATTTTATCAATATTTTTTTCAATTCAGAATCTGAGATGTCCAATATAAATCAATCACAACATTGAACTAAGCTGCCCAATTCTACTATAAAAACCCTTACTAGAGTTTAATGTCTGATTAAATTCATAGAGATGAAAAAAATGCTGGGCTGTGTTATGAGCCCAGGTGCTCCATGTGCCGGGGCTTGGGACCAGGGGCCCAGACAAAACTGGGGCTGCTATGTTTAACACATGTCTGAAGTCCACGCTTAAAGTCACATTTTACTCTAACGGGAAGTGAGTTACTTCAGAGGAGAACTGCCCTAGAAGGCACTCAGGCTCTGTCTTTTCTCTGTGTTAGCTAATACCATGAAAATAATTTTCCAGATATTTACATACTGTCAAAATCCCATTACAACTAACTTAAAAAGTTGTTTCTTCTGGTTCAATGCAATATAAGATGAAAGAAAGCAACCAGCCACTATCTATATTCCCTCATGATTTGGCTGTAAGAGATTTTTTTTTTTAACATTTTAAGCAAGTCTAGCGTCGACTCTCCCCCTCAACACTAATGCTGGAATTATTGTAATAAAATTCCCTTCAAAGAGATAGATTCCTAGTCCAGAGCTCTTCCCACTATGCCTCAGTGTATGTTCTAAATTATATTTTTTATACATTTAGTATGTTCTAAATTATATTTAAAAATTATTTCATGTTACAGGCACCTTTCAAATAAAAACAGTATTTTCAAAATTAAAGTGAAATAGATCTTTTCATAGAAGGAAAAAAAATGGGATGGACTCAAAGCAGTTTTATAGCTATAAATTTAACTATGTGAAGTAAAAAGCATGTCTACACCACTAATTGAAAACTATTTGAAATGGTTGAGGGGCCAGCCTGGTGGCGCAGCGGTTAAGTGCACGCCCTCCGCTTTAGCGGCCCGGGGTTCGCAGGTTCGAGTCCCAGGCGCAGACAGACGCACTGCTTGTCAAGCCATGCTGTGGCGGCGTCCCATATAAACTAGAGGAAGACGGGCACGGATGTTAGCCCAGGGCCAGTCTTCCTCAGCAAAAAGAGGAGGATTGTCATCAGACACTAGCTCAGGACTGATCTTCCTCATACACACACACAAAATAATACTAATTTAAAAAAAAAAAGAAAGAAAACTATGGTTGTGACCTAAAAGTAGGCTGGGAAATCAGTTTAGTGGGTCACATCATGGTAGTTTAAGAAACGAAACAGAACAGAATAAAAGCCATCAGTGTATCCTGCACATAACTAGGGTACTAACTGCTGTGTGAAAGTTTCGTTTCAGTCACATCCGCCTAAATATGTAAGGGTCACAGTGCTCAACGCAGTTTTTACTGTAAAAGTTGGTCTGGGCCAGCGGTTCCTAAGGCCCTGGCTATCATCAGAAATCTCCTGGAGCTGTGTAATAAAACAGACTCCATGGCCCAAGCCCCTAAAATTCTAGTTGTTGGTCTAGTAGGGGGCCAGAACTTCCTAGGGGAATCTGACCAGTCTGGGCTGGGACGGCTGCTCTAGACTCTAGTTCTCAACTGTGGTGCAAACAGACGCACCAAGCTTCTTTGTGAGACAGCCCCAAATGGGAAGCAGAGGCTGCTCTGAATGGGAGGAAGGGTTCCCCAACTCTTTGAGCTACCCCTTCCATCCCACCCCCACCAGCGGGCCTCTCAGGGCTTTCAATAGCACTCAAGGCATTACAGAGTAGCATGAAATCCCCCAAGGGACCCACACCTCAGGGGGCAGAGGGATAACAAGGGTTACTCGCCCCATTACCTACACTTACCCTTCTACTCTCTTCTTTTTCCTCTCTCTTCTTTTCCCCATCAATTTTATCCTTTTCCTTAACCTCATCCTGTAGTGATGTCTTAAAATAGTGTCTTTCTACTTTTGGCATTTGGGACACAAGAATGAATGATCCAGGGTGTGGGCCAGAGGCTCTTAACGAGGAGTTCACGTCAGAATCATTGAAGAGCTTTTAAAAAACATACACATGCTCGGAAGCCTGCTAATTCTGTAGGTGTGGTAGGAGAGAAAGTAGTGGAAGTAGGGTGGACAGGAATCTGCATTTCTAACAAGCTCCATGGAAGACTTTGACTTTATCATAACCAGTATTAAGAACCAGTGCTTGAGGTTCCAGGGCAGAGGTTCTGATCTGGAGCTAATGCATGGGAAAAAAGTCTGGCAAAATGTGTCTGTGCACTTGGGCCTTTCTCTGAGGAGAGGTGTCACAGATCCCTGAGACTCTCAAAGACCTATGAATCAGATTCTCAGGGGTAGGACTCTGCATCTTGAAGAAGCTCCTTGGTAACTCACTGGAGTACTGGGCAAGGAGGTGGAGAAGTGCAGCTTGTCTTGTGCCTGCCTCTGCAAACCTGGACTAACACAACCCCCAAAGCCCAGATGTCTTCCTCCACAAAAGGAGGCAAAAAGCAGTTGCTGGCCCCCAGCCCCACCATGGGAAGGACTAACTGAACGGTGCCTGTGCAAGGAGAGCCTGGGGAAGGTCCCATACTAGTGGTCTAGGTGCCACCTCTCAAAGAGCCTTCTGTAAATGCACGTTCAGAATGAAAAGAAAGAAAGATTGGCAAGTCACTTTATTTTGGCTGAAGGCCATGATTAAAGGTGTGTCTTTAAGGTTACCTACCTGTCGACCTCCTCTTTGCTCATGGCAGCAAATGTGAAACACTCCGTCACTCCATTGATGGCAAGCAGGAGGACGTAGAGACAATAGGAACGCAACAAAACAGGACCTATAAAGCAATAATCCACTGTGACTCCAGAGCCCAAACGGGAGGTCCGCATGCACCTTCAGTTCAGCTGGGTGCTCAGAGAACACCAGAGCTGGGTCATGAGCCCTGCTGGTATCATCAATGGGCAGACGCATGCCTGAGCCTATGGTCTTATTTGGAAGGACTCTCAGCCTTCCATGGCACTGACTAAAATAAACAGCTAAAAACAAAAGGACAATTATGAATAAATGTACCGATCTCTTGCTTCACAACTAAAAGCTTATCTGGCCAGCAAGCAAATCTTGAATTTTAAATCATCATGAAGAGGCCTGTGAGTCTGAGCACTCAAGGACTCTAGTGGCCCTGCATGATAAGAGAACCTCAGTTCAGAGGTCCTGAAGAAAAGACCTTGGGGAGAAGCCCAGGCTCAGGAGCAGCAGGAAACCACGGAGACAGAGCACCCACAAATCTGCAGGGAGAGCCAGAGCCCACAATGTTATTTTCTTCCAAAACAAAGTGATGTGGTTCTATAGCTAACTAACAAGCTCTGAAAAAACCTGCTAACAAAAGATTGGGAGCCTTACAAATAGGATTGATCCCCTCTTTTAAGAGGGCCATAATCAAGAAGCAGCCAAAAGCAATTTCTAATAAAATAAACATATCCAGCCTACGACCCAGCAATTCCACTCCTAGGTATACATCCAACAGAAACAGGCACACATGTTCACAAAAACACTTGTACAAAAATGTCCACAGAAGTTTGATTCGTAATAGCCCAAACTGACCATCAACAGGAGAAAGGATAAACAAACTGTGGGCCATCTATACAAAGAAATACTTCCCAGCATTCAAAGAGGAAAAAACGACTGATCCATGTAAAAACATGGATACATCTCAAAAACTTTATATTGAAGGAAAGAAGCCAAACACAAAAGGGTCCATGCTGTGTGATTTCATTTATACAAAATTCTTTTTAAAAGCAATACTAATCGATGGTGATAGAAATCAGAACAGGGGTTGCCTCTGAGGTAGAGGGGACACTTGACTGGAAAGGGTCCTGAGAGAACTTCCTGGGGTAATGGAAATGTTCTATATCTTAATCTGGATGTTGGTTCTATGGTTGTATATATGTGTCAAAACACATAAAACTATACTTTTAAAAGAGTATAGGATTTTACTTTACGTAAATTAGACCTCAATAAAGAAAAAATTTAACCACCAAAAGAAAAGAGTGGGGCACTGAAGTTCCAGAGTCTCAGAATCTGGAATTTATTCATGATTTATGAAAGCTGCTTAATATGAAAGATCCCCGTGCCACGGGGACCCTCAACAGTTTTATGGCAGTCAAAAATTACAAAAGGAATATTAACAGGGCAGCCCTGATGCCCAACAAAAACTATTTTCCATGGCCCTCTCTTGGGTTCCACATTTTATCATGTCACGCTGCATTTCATTCCTTAAGCCACTGCAGAAAGTAGCCTGGCCCCCACTGCAGCTGAGGGACGACTCCAGTCGATGAGGCAGGGATCAGGCTCTGCCCTGTGATGGCTTGAGGCTATGCTCAGTGTGCCTGCTGCTTCTCTCCATCCTCCTCTCTCTAGCAGAGAGAAATGGGGCTCCTCTCATAACTGGCACTTCTCACTTGGTAACTGAAAGCTAATGGCACGTGTGGGTCTGTTGAAGGTGGATAGCGAGCTGCTGTGCAACATGGAGAACACAAACTCTTGCCTGAAACAGTGATTCAAGAGGAAGGGCTTTGAGTCGATTTTTGGGAAAGAGGTTGAAATTGGGGAAATTCACAGATGGAACCTTAAACTATGGATTGAATTGAGGGGTGTTATGGGTTGAATTATATACCCCAAAAAAGTATGTTGAAGTCCTAACCCCTAGCACCTTAGAATATGATCTTATTTGGAAATACGGTCTTTATAAAGATAAATATAAAGAGATAATAAAGTTAAAATGAGGTCATTAGGGTGGGCACTAATCCATTATGACTGGTATCCTTATAAAAAGGAGAAATCTGGACACAGGGACACTCACAGAGGGAAGACGATGTGAAGACACACAAAGAGAAGATAGCCATGTGACTGGAGTAATGCATCTACCAGCCAAGGATCGCCAGCAAATACCAGAAGCTAGAAGAGGCAAGGAAGGATCCACCTTTAGAGCCATCATGGTCCTGCTGACACCTTGATTTCAGACTTCTGACCTCCAGAACTGTGAGACAATCAATTTTTATTGTTTTAAGCCATCCAGTTTGTTGTATATTGTTATTGCAGCCCTAGGAAACTAATACAGGAGATAGAGAAGAAAAATAGATTTTAAAAAGTAAAAGAAAGAACAAGAGAGAAGCACCTAAGACATAAATGTGAGAATCTCAGGGAAGTGCATTGAATATTTGTGTTTTTCTAAAGGACAGAAAAGCTAGGTATGAGAAAGATTCCTGAGTAAAGTCTCTAGAACACTTACAAAGCCCCTAATTATACACAGTGCTAATCCCAAATAATGCAAAGCAAAACCACAGTGCCCCACACGGAAGCCTGTCTATGCTGTGTCCTAGTCCCACCTTTGGAGAAGGCAGCACAGAGGGTGGAGGGTGTAAGAAGCCAATTCAGGTCACATGTAAGTCCCCTTCCTGGGTGACGACAAAGACCAATACGCAACTGGGACAACTGAGGACGGCAGTGTCGCAAGTTCCACTTTCAAAACTAAGGTGGTTGGGCTGAGCCACGGAAAGGTGCCCTTTTCTGATTAATTCAGGAAGACATTCTGGAGAAAGTCAAGTTTTGTGAGGTATTTAAGTGAGCAAAAAAAACTGTTGGTGGGGGGGGAAGAGCAGCAGTGTTAATTTTTCCTGGTGTAGAAAAGGCATTCGGGTACACAGCACTAGTCCCAAGAGTCAGGAGTAGGGCAAGGGGAGGAGGGACGGTGTGGACACGAGGGAAGGAAAGCCAGCAGGCACCCAGGGGAGATGCAGTGACCCCACCAGAAGCCACTCTGGGCTTAACAAGCTGGAAGTTTGGTCAAAATGAGAGACAGCTACCATGAGGAGACAAATGCTAGAAGACCCCGCTGGGGCAGTGATGCTGACGGAGCCCTGGGCCAGGCAAGAGATGACAATGGTCCTAAAGATCCTGCAGTGGCACACCAAACCACACATTCTTTTCAGAGACAGAAACTAGACCATTCTCAAGACTCTACTTTATCTAAAGATGAGACTGGGAGAGTATCTTTTTGAGTCTCAAATTATTAATGACATAAACCATGCGAGACAGAACTTATTACTTTGCAAATCAACTAACACTGACCCTTTAATTGATAAGTCTATATTCAGTGCTCAAAACTGGCACCAGCATCTCACTTCAGTAAAAGGACTAACAATTCTAGTAGTTTGTTTATATATCATATATGATTAATTACTCCACCAGGTGCACATGATATTGATGGGACTGCCCTCTCCTCCTGGCAGGGTCCTGTGATTGCATGCCTTGGTGATTACCTTTCTGAAGGGGAGAGCTCCTGTGAAATAGGTGAGTCCCCAGTCTCTGCACACTAACTTACTAATGGCTTCCTTCCTCTCTGCAGTCCCCTGATGGAAAAGTACCTCTCACAGCACACACCCCAGGGAGCTGCAAACCACCTCATTCGTTTCACAGCAGGTGTTTTTCTAAACTTAATGACGTTTGCTCTACTATAGAAACTTGGCCTTCTTCCTCTAAGACCAAAAGTTCGGGCCCCATTATAGTGGAGACTAAAACATGCCCATGAACTTGTAAAATGGCATTTGACAAAGTCCTCAATTTTACATTAAGATGGAGCAGCAGAAAGAAGTCTTCAGGGTTCCTGTCTAGTGACCTGAGGAATTAAAAACATCTTTGCCAAACCCAAGATGAAGCACTGCAAATGGACTGCCAGCCTACGGCCCTGCACATTTTGAAACTGGTAAAATCCCCAGGGCCTAGCAAGTGCTGTGAGATGCTCCATGGCCTGGGCACCAGGTGCTTCAGAGTTAAGACACATTCGATACTTTTCTCCTTCAAAAACCAAGAGTCACTGGATTAAATATATCATTTTATTTACCGAGATCAATTTTATTCTCTGCAAATGGCTCTGGGTTATCCTTCAGAGGCTTTTATGTATCAGGCCATGAGATTTACGTGACATTTACTATCTTCAGATGTGTTTAGTACCAAGTGGAGACTCATTAGGCCTGCTCTCTGCCTTCCTCCCTCACCCGAGGGAGCACAAGGAAGCACAAGGAAGCACTTGGCAAAACACATTTGAGGCCTGAGAGGAAAGCCTAGGAATCATAACTTCTCCAAGTGAGGCTGGGGAACTGACCCACCTGATGACAAAGCCCCCGACCACACCCTGAGCTGTCATCTCACCTCATGTGCGGGCAACAGTCCCACAGCCCCAGCCACTGACAATGTTCCCTACGCCGACACAGATATCGGCACGAGGTCTGCACAAGGTCTTCACAGACTCTTCTATTTCTGTTTGGAAATTAGAGCAAATCTGGCAAAACTCTTGTGCATACCTGATCCCGAGCTAAGCATGGTCCCTCCGTAGATATCCAAAGCCAGCTGCGAATAGGCAAAGCCAAAAACAGTGATGGTCAGGCCGGCCAGCAGGGCCAGCTTGAGCAGGGACTCCAAAACCACGGCAGCCACAGCAACGTCCTCCTGGGGCCAGGGGAGAGGGAAGGAAGTTGGATGAATCACGAGCTAAAGAAAAACTTCACATCTGGCCTTCTCCTTTGCTGTTTTACAGATCACTCCTTCAACTGTGAGGACCATCACTGCTTTTCTGTAGCCTGTGTTTGTTTCTATGTCAACTGGCAAATGAAGGAAAAAAGACAATATGTGCCTCCTTAACGTAGTGAGAGGGAGGTTTAGTTTTTAACTTATTTAAAATAAATTATTTCAAATGTTGCTTAGGAAACACTCACTTTTCCCTCTGATATTCATTCTTACATGGACAGCAAGTTTTATGTTGCCGGCTAGCTTCATCAGTGTGCTTCTCCTGACAAATGGCTCCAAATCCTGATGTTCCTGTCAATGTACACTTAGAAGAATATTTCAAATCAGACTGAGAACCAGATTAACTCATTTTGAAATACTGTGTATAAACCATATTTTGCAAAACGTCTTCTAAGACATGTAAGAGGCCGACTTAGCTTGCTTTTAATTCTAAGCGAGTCAGACATTTTCAATAGCTTTAGAAAAAGTTAAGTTTTGGGGCCGGCCCCATGGTGTAGCGGTTAAGTGCGCGCACTCCACCGCTGGCAGCCCGGGTTTGGATCCCGGGTGCGCACCGATGCACCGCTTGTCAGGCCATACTGTGGCAGCGTCCCATATAAAGTGGAGGAAGATGGGCACAGATGTTAGCCCAGGGCCAGTCTTCCTCAGCAAAAAGAGGAGGATTGGCATGGATGTTAGCTCAGGGCTAATCTTCCTCACACACAAAAAAAAAAAAGAAAGAAAAAGTTAAGCTTTTACAACCAAATACTCCTGGATTAAAATCTCTTCTTCTGTTTTACCAACCAGAGTATGTAGATTCTCAAAGTCAGAATGTAGCTCTGGGTACTTCACAGTCCTTAACAAGCTTAAACAACTGGTGTGGCAAGTGAAACCAAATGACCACGTCCCTTCTTTGCCATGCCCTAGGTTAGCCTTGCCCCAGTCTCTGCATCCTCTGGCTCACCTTTGTTTCTTGAGAATCTGAGGATGGAGGAGGCAACCTCATTCTTACACCTAAGACTAGACTACGAGAGGTGGTCTGTGCTGCACTGGAGACAGCTGTAGAGAGTTCTGAGAGGGCTGGGTCAAGGAAAAGGTCACAAAAAAGGACAAAGGGGTGAGAAGGAAGGGCCAGCCAGGGAGAAAGGAGAAGGCTGTGAAAGAAGTGAGCTCAGGGTCCTGCCATCATTCAGAATGAGAGAAAAGAATAAAACCTAGAAGAAAATTTCAAATCAAACAGAAGGGAAACAGACTGCTCCACATCTCTGTCTATCTTGCAATTAGAGAGAAAAATTCACTTGAGAGATGGTGACATATGAACCAAGACTACCTGCTTCTGAAGTGTGGCATCCTTTCCTCTCTCCAGCACCTTAGCAAAGAATATATAAAAACTCTCCTCTATCGGCTGGAAAATTAACCTGGCCACAAGGGAGCCAAGATTATTCACTATATCATATACACCTACAAAACAAAAAGGAAGAAATAACAATCCTACTGGTTTTTCTATTTAAATTTTCACAGCACTATTAAAATTTTTTCTAATTTAATTTTTTTAATTAAAGTTTTTGAGATAATTATAGATTCATGTGTAGTCGTAAGAAACAATAGAGAGATCCACGTACCCTCTACCCAGTTTCCCCAAATAGTAACAGCTTGCAAAACTATAGCACAATGTCACAACTAGGATACTGACTTTGATACAGTTAAGATACAGAACATTAAAAGTCATTAGGGGCCAGCCTGGAGGTGCAAGTGGTTAAGTGCGCGCTCTGCTGCGGCAGCCCAGGGTTCGCCAGTTCGGATCCCGGGCGCACACTGACACACCGCTTGGCAAGCCATGCTGTGGCGGTGTCCCATATAAAGTGGAGGAAGATGGGCGTGGATGTTAGCCCAGGGCCAGTCTACCTCAGCAAAAAGAGGGGGATTGGCAGATGTTAGCTCAGGGCCGATCTTCCTTGCAAAAAAAAAAAAAGTCATTAATGCCAAGTTGATTTTTTCTATTTTTATTTCCACTACTTTGAGATTATATTCAAAAAAGATATGCTGGGCCGGCTCCGTGGCTTAGCGGTTAAGTGCGCGCGCTCTGATGCTGGCGGCCCGGGTTCGGATCCCGGGCGCGCCCCGAGGCACCACTTCTCCGTCCAACGTGAGGCCGAGTCCCACGTACAGCAACTAGAAGGATGTGAACCTATGACATACAACTATCTACTGGGGCTTTGGGGGGAA